CGTCTAGTCTGACGATGAAACGTTTGCAGCGAAATCAGCCAGCTCGGAGAACACCCGCATACTCTCATCTGCATCCCGAGCTACAAACAGTGCATGTTGGGTTCGCTAATGAAGGGAGATAATGACGGAGTGTTAGTTGCTTGAATTCAAAGGGCATGTATACATATGTAAATTTGGACTGATAGGGTGCAGATAGTAAATAGGAATGAATTAAGCCCCATATTGTTGTGATGGCCAGCTTACGTCCGTGTTCCATTGAGCACCACCGGGTAGCAGTCTTCAGATCTCATCACATCGGTCAGAGAGTATCTTCGGTGCAGGCCAAGGAGATCTACAGACCTATTCCTGTAGAACTTAGCAGTGAGGATAACAGTTAGGAATCATAAAGTCGGTTGGTGCGAAGTACGAAAGCCGCAATGTGTCACCGATGGTGTAGGAGAATCAAATGTGGCTACAGCTATCACTGGGAGTAATCCACCGGTTATCTTATACATGTGCGAAGGCAGAGAAATAAGTTTCCGGATTTGCAATACACCGATTAGATGTAGTTGATCTGGCAAGAAAAATGTGAATCGTAATCCATTCTGAACAATGTTAAGTGATTTCAACTCCTAGAACCCTATAACAGCAGCTAAGCACAGCTCACAAGTTATGAGGGTCATTATACTCGGACTGTACATATAAAAACTCAGTCGATGTCACTGGAGGGCGATGATTTTCTATGACCAAATGTGGGTTAAAGTAGCACCAGAGTGTTAGGCGATTGCGCACTGCGTTTGTTGATGATGCGCCTGCAAGATCCACCGTGTTTGAATGGTTTGCGGAATTCAAACGTGCCAGACGGTTCCTGAATGATGAGGCACGGTGTGGTCGACCTCTGGAGGCCACCACCGGAGACAACATTGCTGCTGTGCAAACTATGCTGAAGGAGGATGCGCGGGTGACTGTGATGCAGCTGCGGAAAACCATCGGGATCAATCCGCAACATGCTACATGAGAAGATCGGTCAGGAAAGGTTTGCACACATTAGGTACTCAATCAGCTCAGTGAGGACTAGAGATCAACTAGGGTGAATTGGTGGCACACCATGCTTGTCAGGTTTGATGCTGGATGTTAAAACGTTGTTAGGGAGATCCTTAGTGGTGATGAAAACTAGGTGTACAGTTTCGTCCCAGAGCTCAAGCAAAAATCGGTTCAGTGGACGGCCGTTGGTGGGGCACGGACTCAGAATTTCTGGCGTGGACGCAGTGTGTCCAAGCGGATGTAGGCTGCCTTCGTGGCCTAGACCGGTCATGTGGCTGCCGTACCGCTCGTACCACAACGCATTGTCAACCGAGACTGTCATGCCACCCACTCTGTCTGTCACAAGTGCTGAAGCTGTAGCCAAGCGTCGTCCAACGACTTGAGCACGAAGGAGTTCGTTGCACACAGGTCCCAGATGTTCTGGCTAGACTTTGCTCCGTGTGATCATTAGGGGTTCCCAAATGTCATGCGCCTAATGCGTGGAAACCGCTGAGAGTCTCCAGAAACTGCAGAATAGGTCTTTATTGAGGTGCTTGAAGGGTTACTCGCGTCAGGATAATCTAGTTGCTTTTCCAATGGTTTGAGCGCATGGAACTGTGCATGAACGCTGGTGGAGGAAATGTAATACCTAGTTCGCTGTAAAAAATGAAACATTTTGTGCATTCGGAAAATTATTGTTCTACACTCGCAGTTACATCACTTTTGGCGGTAGCACTGCTACCGGGGTCTGTAAATCAGCCGTTTTCTTTTCAGTGGAATATCATTTTTAGCTTATCTCCCGCGGATACAAAAGATTTCACCAAATATCCTTGACACTTTTTTTCGGTTACACTACTTCAAGGTCACTAGCGCTGCGCGTGTTACGCGAAGATATCAAAAGGCACTTTCGTTACTTTAAGACTGATCGTACCGATCGACATACTGGGTTCTGACATTGTACCTTCCACAGGAAACAAATACTAATAATCCACTTAATCAAAGGAAATTATGACCAACATAAATGGGACCGTTTATTCGGGTGACATCTGTGCCATAATTTCCATCTATACAATTTGCATTTTTAACGTTGCTATTTTCGTCCATCCGCGGTAGTTATGGTAAAATGTTGAGAATGCACCCATTCGGGTACATAAAGCCTTCAAAGCCCGTGCGGTTATTTAGCGATGCAACCATCTACAGAGACGGTAGGATATCATTCTGACAATGTGAAACATTGGGCGTACGATAGACACGGTATTACTGTATGGATCATAAAACATGAGCGATGCGCACGGAAGAGACCAGGTGCTTGATCGTTTCTGATCAATGTGACTTGCGGAGTATTGCGCATATCTGTTGCATGCAGTAGTGGAGTTTAGCAAGACTCAAAGATGCTTCATTGAGAGGATTGTTGTGTTCTCCGAGCTAGGCAATTTTGTTGTCTGTATGCTAGAAATGAACCGATAACGTTGGCTAGGTTATGTCCGTAGACTGCCTTCTTCGGTGAGCAACTAGTTGGGTTGTGGTGGAGTAAAGGTAGATACTACTGCGCCGGGTATAAGTAGTGTGGTGGTGCAAGATGACACGCCAACAGCGAGCCCTGCCGACTTCTCCAAAGTTGAAGGTGACATCAGGATTACAGTTCCATGCGCACGAGGAGTGAAGACAGAGGCAAGCACCAGTTGGGGAACACTCCATGGAGATCACGCAGATGAGCGGACGCCTCCAAAGTATGAACGAACACACCTAGTGTAAGCCACTTTGGCAACAAACAAGTACCGCCGGCCCCTTGGGTTCTCACAGGGTGAAACTACGACGCGACTAGTCGACGAGATGGTAGGGTCTTGGTGAGGTAGTCGCTGAGTCAATAACGCTTTCTGTATTGTGCACGATAGCACTTTCCCACCATTGCAAAGTATTAGTAGAACGGCGGTGATGATTGTTATTAATCAGGACTTCGGGGTTCAGATCATATTTATCTAACTGGACCGATCTGTGCACACAAACGCAGGCGAAAAAAACAGTAGTTTAGATGCGCAGTCATCTGTACAAAGTGGATTAGTTAGATCATAGCTGTTGGAAAACGAATGCGGTCTGTGTGCCAGTCGCATAAAAGACCAATTCGATAGTAGACAGCGAACAAAGGTGTTGGAAAATAACTCAGTAGCCATGAGAAGTCTACGTGTCAAATAAGGCGAAGTATAACAACGTAGCAGACTGTACACTCCCTCAGTCGGTAAGCTGTGGCCACACGGATGGAAATACAGAATGTGCACTCAAACAGTCATGGTAAATAAGAACAGACGATACCTTGGAATAAACTGGTAATCGACTAGGATTTCAATATTTCCGAAAGTTTTTGAATACAAATCGTTTTTATAAGCTTGTGTTGTGACAACGCGGCCAGTCTGAGCAGCTTTGGCAGACGGATTCAGGTTGGGGGCGGAAACGTCGAACTATCATAACTAGAGCCAAGAGCAACATCAACACTACCTCACATGTGAATGACCCATTGCACGGACCAATTGGGAAAGTTCCATGCACACTGTACCACCAGATGGACTCCTGACCCTTTGAAACTGTAACCACATTTATCCAATGACCCGGGTTATCTCGAGCTATCATTATTCTAATTTGGTATAAAAAGCCAAGCCAAATCTGTACTAGTTCACATGATCTGAAGAAGCTCTTGTGTCAAGGGTGAAACAATGTCACAATACCGGCCTATAAAAACCTATTTGTGTTCCAAAAACCGTTGGAAATTAAGAACAAGACGATCTGTAATCTAGCGGAAGACCTACGAACAACGGGAACGGACGGGTGATAAACACCAACCCGTTAACCAGTGACCGAAGCAAAACAGGTATATTGTCCACGAGTTGATTGCCTCATGGAGAATGTATGGTATTGTCTATCTCGCCATCATAATTGATCACGGTGAATAAGTGAACTAACAATGACGCGTGCATATGAAACTAAAAGTGAAGAAATAACTTCTATTGCCAAGTCCGAAAAAATATGCAATACTTGTAAAAGGTTAGATAAAACTAAATAAAAGGTATCACAAAAGCAAAGTAAGTGTGCCCGTAAGAGATAATAGAGCATAATAAACAAAGAAGTATGGTTCACATTCAAGCTTCAGAACAGTTCTTCAGTAGAATCGAATGCCATGGCAGCAACTGAAAATCTGTTCAAGAATGCAAACAGTCAATTCACTTGATCGTGCGGAAACGTCATGACGAAAGGTAAAAAGCACATAGACACACATAGCCTCGCACATGTGCGAAAAATACGTCGACGGGCAATGAAGATCGATGACATACACACGCACACTGATGAGGCCAAATATCAATACATTGTATCCTACAGGATGGTGCAGACATGTGAGAGAGAAATGTGGGCGCAACGACCTGAAACAAGAACAATCTGAGGAGGAAATATGTGAGGACAAGAAAGGTCTTCGTAAGCTCATCGTTGCATGCATGTCACAAGACTACACTCCGATTAACGTCTCGGTGGTCATGGTTGGCGTGGGCGTGAATAACTGAGGTTGAAATAAGTGCAATCTAATCCAAAATAAGCGAAGAAAAAAGCAGGGTGCACAGCCTTCGTGGCAATAGGGTATGCGGAGCTGGGAGTTCACAGCCAAAGGTTGGACAGAAAAGAGAAATGCTGCAACAGGACCGCGAGGTGACGCAATCCAAGTGAGAGTTGTGGGTGTTAACGACCGTGGTGCAGTTAAAGTAATGTGTGGGAAAAGAACGGAGGTCAACATGAACTAACCCGAATAAGAATAACAGTTCGTATGACAATGAAAGTAATGCTTGCGGATTAAAAGAGTGAAAAACATGATGGCAGGGGGCGTGTTAGACCAATTTACCCACGTCTTCATGATACAACTTCGTGGCCATAATCTCTCCAGTGAATAAAGTCTGAGTAGCAGCTGAGGAAGTTGAAGTCCTCGCTAACCCGTTGTCAGAACACGAACAGTGAGAAACGCTCACAGTGGATGGTGGGTTCGTACGTTCAGTGAGGCAACTGTCTGCGTAGCCTTGGATGCTAGGGATTCCAGAAAGGGTGCTCAATTCGGAAACAGGGCTGCTCCTAGACGATATAGACCCCATCAAATCAGACTTTGGAGGTTTGTCATCAAATTCGCCAGTCTGCTCATTCCGACTGTGGTCACCAGGAGGACGAGAAGAACTGGTGTCGAAATGAAGTTCCCAAGGATAAGATAAGCGAATTGAAGCAATCCTGTCAGAACAATAGTCGAATGCTTCTGAAACATCAACGAAAAGCTGTCTCAAAGGTGTCTTGGAGCTCGTTACATCGTCCGAATTGTCCAGACCAGAGTCAGGATCATCAAGCGGGTCTTCCACCTCTTCCGCATTCTTGAGTGGCGGACGCCGAATGTGAGCAGGTAATGGATCGGTTTCTTTCCAAACGCAAGTGGCTCGCCATTTGGCTCGAGATCCTTTAGGAGCAAGTACCGCATTGAACAAGACAGTTTCGCGCACCTCGAGTAAATAAATGGTTAGAGAGAAGTACGAGATTTGTGTAAAACAGTCAACTGTACGCAACATAATGTTTAGTAACAGTTACGGCGAATATTTTGATATAATCATGAGTAGGGGATTTGCTGGTGAAAGTGGTTGGGGGTGTTTACGCAACAGTTTCCAAATCGGATCATTCATCACATGCTATGTCGTACACAGCTACAAGTGGGGGACGCCGTGTCACTTGGAGCCAACGCTGTCCTCTGCAACCATCGAAAATTGCATGTCAGTGAAGGAAGAGACGCGCTATATAGCTGTTAGCTTGTAAGTTCAGACGGTCCGCCGCTGTCCCCTATAGCTCAGCTGCAAGCTGCTGGCTGGCGATGCAACTCGCTAATGGTCATGGGCTAGATCATGACTGAGCCCATGGAAACAAGCTAGGGACGAGACCCAACAGGTCGAAACGGCCGTCTAGAGCTATTCTGGACATCTCGAAGATTATCGAATTTGAAAGCTACTGCGAGAAAAGCTCGGTTTATTCGCATCGAAAATGCGCTCCTACTCATGACTCGATCGCTATTATGTTTGATTAATTTCACTATTATAGGTCAATGTCTGTTCCACGGTCTCGGATTCGCGTCTGCCAACCAAACGGGAACTGAGCATATCTAAACGGTCGCTCCTCACTTTAGTGCACACAACATAGGAAGAATAATTAAGATAAGGTCAGAAATACCGACGAACATCGGCCAATATGCAGTGCTGCAATCAACGTGTACAAAGCTAAGTCACATCAATGACCATACTGAAGAAAGTGAAGCACTAGTTTATAGTACGGTAGTCCAAAGGCGGAGGAAAAGTGGGGGGAAAACAACTGCACATACAACACATTGGTTGACAAGCTGTCCATTCAGTGACCATGCTAGGTTCGCCATTCCTCAGAGAAGTTAAGTCCCGACGAAAATCGGAATAGAACGAGCTTTTATAGAGATACAATAACAAGTATCTAGAAGATTAGTAGTTTTCTGGTAGCACGGAGCAGCTGCCTATGGCGCAGAAGATAAAATGTGTTTCACATGGAACTTCAATGTATGACCGAAAACAAAGCAGTAGGCAAAAACAGGAGTCGAAAATATGACGAGTAAACGATGCGGTTCGCGAAAATGGGAAAAAGAGACAGTGATTGCTAACTGATAGGATCACACACTTAAATAGAACGATAACATTGTACTATTTCGTGCCCTCTATTCACCTGGAAACGAGCAACATATCAAATGATAGCGTGACAAAGTCGATAAGTTGAGATCGGAAGATCACAAACAAACAGTTGCCTCTGGACGCACAGTGCTGAACGATGATTGTTTGTTACGCTCAAACTCCCTTAGAGTTCGTGTTACGTCCTCAACTCGTAGCCATCGCTTACTTCTCTTGCATGTAACCTTCCAAATTCAAAGCATTGAGTTTTGTCACATTAACATTTGACATGTTGTTCACTGCTAAGTGAACAGAGTGGACCTAATGCTACCATCTTGCAACATGCGCCTTCTTATTGTTCCATTAGAGTTAATACGGGGAAATCAATGCTTCAAGAATCATATACATGAACACCACAGGACAACCGGAGAATAAACATGGCACACAAGGCAGGATCACATTCTGTAATAGCACTGATGTTGTATTTGCACAAACATTGGAACAGTGCTGTCAATATGGTTGTCGGTTCATACAATCTGAAGCTGGGAGATATGCTTAGTCAAGACAACGTGATACGTTTCAGGATTTAAATGACCATGGTATCAAGTAAAAAACATAGCTGACATTGAACAGGAAGAGAGCGAAACTGGTTACCATAGTGAAGCGACGAATTTAAGTATCACGGGAGCAGTACTTTGAACCATAAGAATGAGGCATAATAGAGTGCTCACGCGCATTCAGGGGAACATATGTAGCTGTAAATATCCCAGAAAAACAGCGGTGATGAACAGATGAGTGAGTAACGTTGACCAAATTAGTGAGTACAGGGAAGGAATCATGTTCTGTTATCACTGAATGTTACCTGAGCGATTGGACCCATTTAACGGAAATGTAGTGGTGAGGCGCCATAGCAACAGCCAGAACTCACCAAACGGGTCGATGGAAACGAATAGGTAGGAAGATCGGCCAGTGAAACGGCCTATTTGCGTGGAGGACAAGTATAACAACGAAAATTGAGAAAAGTGGGTCACGTGATGTGAGCAAAACGGTCCGAGAACATGTGAAACAAAGTAGGCTTATAGAGAAAACAACAAGCATGTCCGAGAGCGACGAGCAGAGGAGAGTTGCTATGCCAAATTCATATGACAGAGAGAAAAGTGACAGATACGGATAAAGCAGATAGGCTGTCAAGTGAATGTCAGTAAAAAGATCAGAAGCAAACCATAAGGTGGATGTAGCTCGCCTCGCATTCACATAGGATCAATGGTGTGCAAGGGAAGCATGAAATAGCATCGTTCTTAATGATATCAATCGGACTGTACAATTTGAGAGCAGATAGTGAGATAGGGATTAAGTAAGATTTATCGAAATACGGTTAACTATACGTGGTCGCGTCGGATAAAATGTGCCAATTGCGACTGTCTACTAAGGTAAGGCATGCCTGATAAATATGTAAACATTATCAAAGCGTTGTACACGCATAGTTCGGGCAGAGTGAGAGTTTATGGCACTGTTGCCGTCCTTCAGTATTACCAACAGTGAGACAAGGTTGCCCGCTGTCAACCTTCCTCTTTAACTTCGCAATTAACGAAGTCATGGAAGCAGCATTCGCTGGCCACGACCTACAAGGTGTGGGGCTACTTCCTGGTGAGCGACTTCTTGACTTGGAGTAAGCGGCCGATATTGCCCTAATTGATGATAGCGCCCAAAGATGCCAAGCAGCACTGGACCGATTAACACTGAGTGTCAGTATTTTGGAATATGCTTTGCTCCATAGAAATGCAAAGTCCATCTCCAGCTCACCATTGCGCTGACGCTTGGTGGTGATCAGCTAGAACTCGTTCAGGAATTCAAGCACCTGGGCAGCCAGTGGGATCGAAGATGAGGTTACGAACCGCATAGTAAAAGCTCGAGGTGCGTTTACCGATCTCCACCACCTGTGGCGCAGACGCGACATCACTCTCGTCATGAAGGGGAAATTTATAATGCAAGGGTCCGTTCAACCCTCCTATACAGTTATGAAAGCTGGCCCATCAGGCCGACAGACTTAAGGAGGCTCATCAGGTTCGATCATCGCTGCCTTCGCAGCTTAGCTCTTGTTTTGTGGGAGCACCGAGTGACCAATGAATGCGTTCGGCATCGCACGTTTGGTGCAAAAAGAGCGAGTGAACCACTCAGCACCATTATATCACGCACCAGGCTCCCATAGTTTAGCTACGTGTTGCGCATCATCATCAACAACAACAGCAGTACATCAGCCATTTGAACTGATGCTTCGCTGCCATACAACCATGAGGACCTATGAAATAAAGAATAAGAAGAGGGAGAGAAGGGGGACTTACCTGAAAACCTTAATGCCCTAAGCAAACATTCAGGGTCAAGGCGCCTACACCTTGTGTAAACAACATACCGTCACAAACAGCTGGCTATCGTGCAAAGATAAGGTGGCATCGGCGATACAGCTTCCTTGCGGCTTTCACTGCCACGCGTCATAATCAGCCATTACCCCGTAGATAACTCAGCACCAAACACACTTTAAACAGACAATCCGATTAGGAGACGGCAGCAGACGCACCACTGGTGTCGGTTGCGAGCCATGTCCTGTAAAGTCTCGAGCCAAGCACAAGGTGAGTCACGTGGACTCCAACCCGGAAGGCGAGGCGGACCAACGGCACCCAATTTGGTCGTCAGTGACTTCATTTCTCGCTGCCAAGTCAACTTCTGTCCACCTCGAACCTTGCGCCATCCGACACCTGGTAGACTGAACAAGGCCCTCCTAGGTAAGCGGTGACCAGGCATGCGTAGCACGTGCCCGAGCCAACGTAACTTATTCAGTGCTATCTGTTGTTCTAGGGAGCTAGCATGATTATCACCACCTAGTACTCGCCTACGCACATCGTCGTTGCGGATTAGCTGGTGCCATCCAACACCAGCAATGCTTCGCAAACAACGATGATCAAAGACTTGAAGGCGCCTCAGATCTTCAGACCAAAGGGGAAAAGTTTCACTACCATAGAGCAGAACGGCCCTCACTGTGGCCTTGTATACACGGCCTTTCAGACGGAGGGAAACTCCCTTCTGTCGCCAAAGATGTCGCAGGTTCAAGAAGGCAGCTCTGACTTTTGCAATGCGTGAGCTCACGTCAGTTTCTATGCGCCCATCATTGCTGATGCAGCTGCCAAGATAAGTGAATTGATCAACCACCTCGAGTTCCTCGTTAGCAAGCGTCAAGGGGTCATCGAGTGGCTGGTGGTCCTGCAGCAACACTTTGCACTTTGAAGGTGCGAAGTGCATACCGAATAATGGGACCACTCTGGATAGGCTATTCAGGGTTGACTGCGTCGCCTCAACCTTGTCAAAAAGCAAGACGATATCGTCCGCATAATCTAGATCAAGTAACCTTTCACCAAGCAGCACTTCTACGCCTACATCGTGAGATTCCGCAAGGGAACACTCCATGAAAGAATCCACGAAGAAATTGAACAAAAATGGGGAAATCGGACAACCCTGACGAACGGCACTTGTAGTCGAAAAACTATTCGATAGGACACCATAGACCCTGACGCGGCCTGTAGTGTTCGGGTATAGAGCACGAAGGATGTTCACATATTTCGTGGGAACACCTTTCCGCGCAAGTATTTCGAACAGAATCGATCGATCGACTGAATCGAACGCAGTCTTGAAATCGAGGAACACAGCTATTGTCGGTCTGCGGTATGCGTGGCGCTGCTCTAGCACCTGCCGCAGAGTAAATATATGGTCCATACAGCCACATCCTGGGCAAAAACCGGCTTGCTCTTCTCTAATCCGAGATTCCCGTTCCGCAG